ATTATGCAAGGAGGGATAACATGTATGAGAAAAAAATTTAGAGGGGAAAACAATGTTTATTTCATTATACAACTTTCAAATAATTTTACTCGTATTTATCTACTAACTTCCGTCCACAACACTTACAGTTGAACTCCCGCATGACTAGCTATTGTTTTTTCATTACATCCAATTTTCTTGTACAAAGATTGTACATTTACTTGTAAATGTGAATAACTGTATGTATAGTTTTAGTTTTTTAGAATAGTTTGTTATAACCTTTATTACATTTGTATTCACCTAAATTGAATTTCTTTCAATATGGTTGTAATAAAGAATTATCTTATCTTATCTTATCTTAGATGTAAATCTGATAACAAATCGACTTGTATTAATCAGATGTCAGCTTTAACAAATTAAAGCTGCATAATCTTTTTCACATTATTACTCAATGATGAAATTTAAAATTATGTGTGTGTGTGTTTCTGGATTGATTTTGTTCAAAGTAGGTACAAAGGCAAGTTATAATCAGGGTCATATATGCACATCAATTATTTTTTTTCGGCAACTTTGCATGAAGTATGGATAGTTGGAAAAGTAGTTGGAAACATTACTTGCAAATTGTATGAAAGACTGAAATGTGCATTGTTTCCCAACCATTTGAGAAGACTAACTTCAGGGGGGAGAGAAAGTTGTTTGAGAGGTCTGAAAGAATCTATGCCAAGTCAAATCAAATCAACAAAAGCTTAGAAAGAACTCCCATGTGCTGAAAGATATTGGAGACATGAAATTAGCATATGTGCTTCTATTAGAGTAAATACAGCATTTAAAAACATAACTGCAAGCAATGATCAGGGTGGTTTGACAAAATAATTACTGGATATTTTGGTCATACATCTTGTCAGACAACGAAATTATAGCCCCAGTTGCATATTATTGAGCTTACATGGCCATATCATATTGATTTCAACTAAAAATTAATATACCCCAAGGAATCTATGTACCAAATGTCATTGAAATCTGTTGTGATACAAGTGAAAATTCTTGAAGTTGGCTAATTAATATTCATATTAGGAGACTAATATGCACAGGTCTGTGCATTTCATTAAAATGTGTAATGAATTTAGTATCAGCAAAAAATTCAAATCAAAGAAAGCTTAGAAAGAACTCCCATGTGCTGAGAGTATTGGAGACACATTAAATATAATTTGAAATTACTTAGCTGAAAACTAATTATGCAAATCAGAAAATTAATATGACCAGATTTGAGTGTAAAACTAATGAGGTCTGCGCAATGTAACAGAAAATCTATGTCTCCAAGTTTAATTGAAATGTGATTAGAACCAAAAAACCAAAAAATTATGAATTATTATGCTTATTAGGGAATTAATATGAACAGATTTTTACCCCAAACTAATTAGGTTTGTACATTGTCCTAGAGCATCTTTGTACTAAGTTTCATTGAAATGGAATAATTATTACCGTGAAAACTCCAAAATTTTGACCCCTCTAAAAATTCGACCGGCTATTTATTTGCCGGGTTTCGGTGTTTTATTTACCTCCAAATTTTC